ACAATGGTTGACTGGTTTCTGCCCTCTATAATTGTTGGTTGTTTTTCATGGACTCTTTTATCTCTGAAGATAGACTCCCGCAAGAGCCCGATAGCTCAGATCAATAAACAAATAGATTCGGTGGCGGACAACCCTACTTCCTCATTTATTTAAGGATATTAAGCGTTTAGTGTTGTTCAGGTAAACTAAAAACTAAACTTAACTTAAACTAGAAATAAAATAATAAACTTAAACTAAACTAAAATTTAAATAAAATTATCAAAAGTAAAAATAACCGCAGAACTAAAGGCTAGGGGTATCTAGGGTGATGGACTGAATGTATTGATACCTCAGAATAATATGCCATTTGCTTTTTCGGCAGGCCGTTCTACCAGTTAATATGATGCTCTGTCGCGCTGTGTCCAACCAAGACAGTCGCTGCTGAGATGCAGACAGATGAGTACAGACGTTCCTTTTTGTGTCCCCACAGCTGTCAACGGGACTTTCTGGACGTGTACATCGACGTGGCATCCGCGCGACCCCGCAACATGGAGGACGCTGCCTATATGGCCTACTTGAAGACCCAGGACCAGCAGACCACGACGCCCTTCTCAGCCCTACTCTACTACTCCGTCCTTTCACGCTCGCGACTCTTGGGTCGCTATTGCGGACGTAACCTTCACAGCGTTCCAGCACGCCTAGTGAGCATCCATCGTGAGATTATTCTCGACTTCCTCTCGGGACCGTACTCGGAGCTCGATGAGGTCTCCTCCAGTCTTCTGATGGGGGAGACCTTGGGCTTTAATGGAACCTACAAGTTCATTCCAGACGGTGAGTGATTCAGAAACTGGTACGAGTGTTGAATAGTTGCAGTGGTATACATTCCGGGGTTATATGATGAAAAGGGAGGGCTCATTGAAAAGGAAAAATTAACATGTAAATTTTCAAGCAGGTAGAACTTGAGAAGAAGAAGACTTGATCCCTGGGACAATGCGTTTATTCGTCTGACTTTTAAACATCCGTCGCGGATTCATCATCAGAGACATGAGTAGGAAACAGTAGCAGAAAGCTCGTCATCAGACCTTATAAAATCTGAGAGGGGAGTTTGTTACATTGGTGTTTAAGGACACTGACAAAGAGAGGGGTATAGGACCTTGTGACGGGGGATGCGCAGCGTGTTGTGGCGACTGGTAGATGTGAGCCGAGGCGAATGGACACTCAGGTGATTCACTGTGTCGTGGGAGGGGGGAGGTGGGTGTTAGGAGACATTGGCGTACAGGTGAAGGTCAACATGTCCAAGCATGCATTGAGAGCTGTTAATGTTAAGGTGGACGCCGGTCGGTCCACCTTGATCAGATGGCCTCGTAGTGAACGTCAAGACCAATGTGCATGTTTATACTGTCCGCATTAGAGTATCAGGCTTCGAGGAATTCCTGTGCCTGTTTAGTGTTAAACATCGCGACCATTTCAGTGCCTTCCCAATTGAAGCGATGGTTACAGTCAAGAGCGTGCGCAAACAAAAGAGATAGGGGTCTCGGCGTCGGATGGCTAGCTTGTGCTCGTTAATACGAGTTCACAGTTTTCGACCCGTGTGACTTACGAGTGTAGAAGGAGTCAATTGGGGGAACAAACATGGCCCTCACAGGACTCCTTTAAACTGTTATCTTTAGGATTTTCACTCCTAGGTGCGCACAGATACGCCCTTATTGTATTCTGGTAGATCTGAATTGGGGCGCACTGGTTGTGTTGCGTGTGCGACCCATGATAAAGCTTGAGCTATTTTCAACTAAAATTTCTTTAGTATTACCACTTTCACTAAAGCTACCATAATCACAGCTCATATTCCCATCTGCTGTGCTTATTGTTTATTACTCAGCTACTGGCACTGTTATAGCATATAGGAATATTAGCTGATTATGGAGCAGATTGTTCTCCCATTAGACAGGAGACGCCCCCTAAAACCGCAAGATACACGTAGGCACTGTAACAAGTCAGAAAGTTCGCCTAATAACGTCAAATGGCACCATCCTATATAGAGGCATGGTAAAAATTGAGATATCACTTAATAACGCTTCGTTAACCAATAAGGTGACACAGCCTGGTAGACAAAGCTGAGAGGGCGAAAACCAAGGGAAGTCCTGATGTGCTCCGGGCCGCAAACCTGTAGCTACATGGAAGAGCATAAACCCAGATTCACACTCCCTGCTGGGATCGAAGGGAAATGAATAGAGGTTCTGTAAATTCCAAGATAGAGTTAGCTACCGTACAGTGGTCGCCGTTGACCACATAATTTTCCTCAATTCGTATAAGTTTGATCATTACTCTAATACCAGTGTGAATGTATTTAGGAAAACA